TTAGTTATCCGGAAATTTAAAGGAAAATCTCATATCAATATAAGAAAAGAGAGACGCATGCGGCAGTGAGAGAGCAACCAATCGACAGAAAAACCAAAAGCAGTAATACTAGTATTCAAAAGGGATTATTACGTCATGTATATCGTTTAGGGTTAAACAGATTACAATATGCATGCTGATGAACATTTCGCACAAAGGTTAAAATGCATGAACTGTAATTATAAATCAAGGGGCTTGCCCTCTCGGCAGACTTCGTTTTTGCTGCAAGGAATTGAACGCTTATATAGAAAGAATAGAAGGTGGCTATTACCATTAAGTATGTGTTTACTTATTTTCTGTTTTTTGAGAGAGGTTACAGATTAAATGTCTAGATGACAATAAATATAGAATGAAAGACTGTGTAAGCATACACTTTAAAAAATATTCAGGTGTGAATAAGGAGTCTATAGTTTATCAGAAAGCTATTTTTTGTCGACTTCATAACTATTTCAACATTTTAATGATTTGTAAATGAACTTGTCTATTATTTATTTTGCTTTTAGTGTTTTTTGCAAAGTCATGTCATTCATTTTTCATCCCGGACCCGAAATATGCAACGTTGAAGGCCCTACAGTAACCTGCAATTTGTTCACCTATTTGTTCTTTGATCTATGAATAGCTGGACACCAAACCACATCTCCTTATCTTTATATGATAGTCCCACAAAAAATTTCTAATGTGTGTATATATCTTTGTTTTTTTAATTCTCTCATGCAATGGCGTTTCCTTTTTTGGTTACTATTGATGTGTTTCGTCTAGTATGAATTGTAATCCATTAGAGTGACTGAAATGCTTCTTAAGAAACAGAAAAAAGGCACCATTTGACACATCAGCAGACAATTTAACATTCAAGCTTATAAATGAAAATTTACATTGCTTTCGTACCTTTTTTAATTCTTAAGATAGCTGTAAAAAGTGAGCAAGACTTAAACAAATTGAATTTAAGAATATAGAATGTTTCGATTTGAAATTGAAAAACCTGATCAGATTTGATATAATTTTCATGTCACCAATTTGTTTTTTTCGACTGATATTACATGTTTTTCTTGTTTGACAATGAATTGAAAGGAATACTGTGTTGGCAGAGCCAAAGTCCAAAGCTTTGCGATGCAGATTCCACGAATACACTTTAAAAAAATTAGAAACAAGTACATTGCATGCAAATAGATAATATATTGTGACAAAATTACAGAAAATTTCCATTCAATTGATTAGACAATTGAAATGTTTTGAACAGCCAATTAAATGACGGAATTGTGGAAGGCATTTATAAAGGATGGATCTGTCTGATTAACAATCATGTAATTATTTTATTTATAAAAAGAATAAAACCATGACACAAACATATGAAGTAACCCTGCAAAAAGTACTCGATTGACGCAACAGTGCCCCATGTACTTAAGTTGTTGGCTTTATTTACACAAAGTTGTGCATCAATTTCTCCAATTTGCAAAGATATCATTTCTGTGAAGAAGTTAGACAAAACACTTCTCTGCTGATCAATGATCCGTTTGTCTCGAAAACATCCTCCTCCTAATGACTGCTCAACGATGAAACATCCTCTGAAGTGGAAATGTATAGTAAACTCTATAATACACAATATGATTGTGATTGTCACTAGACATTGGTTAAAAAGAAAACCAAATACTTCTCAGAAGTTAAATATACCTTTGAATTAAGAGAACTTAGTCTATAGTTCACATTGACTATTAAGGGCATTCTTTTTCAAATAGCCCAAACAAATTGGGGTTTATGTGAGATATTTAAATCTCAAATTGAAATTGAAAAAAAAAGAAAACAATGTCATATTAAGAAAGTTTCTAGCTAATCACGTGTCCTGAATAATGATGATAAGTATTTCTAGGAATTTGGTTTGTTGTATTTTCAACACTCAGTATAAATTGACTGACTTCTTTTTTCATTGTTCTTGGACGGTTTTTGTTTTCCTTGGATAAAATAAGGAACTTCTCTAGGTACTAATATATTTTTGGGTTTCATTGTTTTTGCTTTAATAAGCGTTCCTGATGAAGGTAAATCCAAAAATAGCTTTTCGGTTGTGTTATTTAAAAAAAAAAATAAAATGACAATCGAGTCAAATCTCGAGCAAAGGTAAATGGCGTGATCGTTTACAATACCGCAGGACAACAACCGCACTGCTTTTATTAAGGAAAAATGCAATCATCCAAAACTAACGTCACTGTTAACTAGATGTTGCATTTCAAAAGAGACAACTATCTATTTGGGACCTTCTGCCTGCTTTTGTACTAGAATGCCCTTCTGGAGAACATTGGTTCACCCTAACTTTTTGGCTGGTCTTGTGTTACTCATTATTAACTTTTATGTAAAATGTTTTGGCTTATATTTTGTCCTTTAGTCCTCTTTTCTATTGGCCATTGTGATTTTAGAATGCTCTTAGTTGTTTTAAATACTAGTTCGTTAGTTTATGTCAAGCAGTGTCAAAATCACAAACCAGCAGAAATAGGAACAGGATGAATTACTCTACTTCAAGTTCATCCCTATTAGAACATGCTGTTAAAAATGTGTAATTGGGCTAAGAAGTTTTGCGATTGAATATTACCTTACTTAGAAAGGTAGTATAAAAACATAACAATAATACAGACTGTTTTACTTGTTACCATTTTAAGGTAGCACAATACAAATATGTTTTCGTCCCCAATCAGACAACTTTAAACTGATGTAATTTCTTTCATCCAGCTTTTAATTTTATAAATGAGGTATCAAAAGATAGAAGAAAGATTAATCTTTCAAATGGTGATACTTTCATTATGACATAATTATTACATAATTAATTATTATGTAATTAGTTGCTATAATGTGAAGTCCACACTTGAATGAAATTAGCTTCTTTGTTTTTCATAGCATTCCAAAATATTTTATAGATTCTTGTACAACACAGTTTGACCTCAAAAACCGTTTTTATTTCCCATCTGGATAGCCCTTGGTAGTATCATATTGTTTCAATATCCATTAGTGAGTAACTAAGTGTTTGCCATGAAGTTCAAGCACTCTATTTATTTATATTATGTACCATATCCCACCTATCGGAACTAGACAGTGACATGATTGCTTTAATTTAGTACTATAGTACAATGACATCATTTTTTTAATATTCAATCATGTATTCCACATTAAAGCCTACAATATTTAGAATGAAAGAACTTTATACTTCAGTGTTTGTTTGTCTTGTATCATGTGTGTCGTTCAACGAAATCAGAACTTAATCTAAAATAGAGAGATATTTATCAGTCTGGCTACTTCATAATTTTATGCTAAATTGTTGAAATCCAGGAGCTTCTGAGCTTCCCCATGAACCCTCTACCAGGGAAACCGTAATTTCGCCTCCCGTTCATAAAATCCTGGCCTAGGACTATTGAAATGTTAAGTAACGCCTTATACCCTAGAATTTGGAATTTCTCGTTATTGGTCAACTGCTGTTAAGATCCATCCAATCATTATAATATACCATAGACAATTAATGGAGAGAATTCGGCATAAAAAATGTCAAACCCTGACACTTTAACTATACAATATACATGCTCCAAATTAAGAACCGTTGCATTAGTGCATTTCACAATTATTTTATGCTTTTTAGAAAAAAAAAGGTCCAAAACATTTTACGGCGAAAGATTTGATTCTACTCCCCCTCTTTCAAATATCCTAGAAACGCAACTGATATATAATGCCAAGTGGTGGCAAAATAAGAATTGCTCCGAATCAAAAGTTGGTGCAGCCAAATAAGAAACAGCTTTGAACTCACATTTCTGATTCAGATTTGAATTATTACAAGTTATATATACCTCTACTATCTATTTTGATAAACAGTTTAACTTAATTTTCAGTAGGAACGATGGTATACTCGTGATTGATATTTGTCTATTATACATCATGTTTAGTAAGTACAATATTTGATTCGTGATTGAACTTTAATTTGTACATAAAGTACTTTATTACTTAAAACTTTAAATACTTGCAAATGTGGAAATTCAGTTGAACTTATAATTTTTTTTTTTCATTAACATAAGTGGTGCGCTTTTTCTGTGAAACTCATAGAATGGTTACTATATTTGAATCAAAACTTGTTTTAATATAACTTCTTTATATTGGACATATATTTAAAACAATCAACATTTAAATAAGTTGTAATATATTTTTATATAATTTAATCGTTAGAAGAATGCACACTTTCTTTTCGTTTTACAAAAGAGCTGATTGCGACATAGCACAGGAGGTCACGTGAAACACAGCGGAACATTGTATTTTAAAGGATTAAACACAGTTTTTGTCGGTTTATTGATGTGAATATTGGTGAGATTGAATACATATTCGAAGGACATTTATGTAAAGTGTGTGTGTCGACGACCTTTTTTTTTACACCATTATAACCTTAACCTCTAAAAACATGTTTGTAATCCTTATATTTCTCATCCAGTATGTTTGTTATCTTCATTTTCTTTAAATATCCCCTTTCTTCGAAAACCACGGCTGATATGCATAAAAATACTTAAGTTAAGATATCCATTTGTAGTACTAATTTCATCATAGGACATGTAGAAAAATCTGTCCGTTCTAAACAAATCTTAACTAAATTGTTTTATGCAGCTGAGCCCCAAGGATTCCATTCATGTGATAGGACATGACTATTGACACTGTTTACATTTTACATGGATAGGACAGAATTCCGGCAACATCGTCTATCAAAGTGTAAACAAAGGAAAAAAATTCTTACACATTCATTTATTTGTAGATATACAAATCATAAAATAATTACTAAAGAAACATCTAATCTTAATTTAATTAAATGTATAATAAAACCGCAAAGTATAACTTGTATTTTTTCTATCCTTATAAAAAATAAGAAGATGTGGTATGATTGCCAACGAGACAACTATCTACCAGAGACCAAATGAAAACGAGCAAAACTCTAATGTATTATAACTTACCGTACGATTCTCCGGTCAAAAAAAAAATGTAAACACGATCAAAAGTATTATAAATATAAACTACATAAATCTTCTTGTCAAGTTATTAAGTACACTGACATTTTCACGTGACTCGGATGAATACAATTTAGTGTATTTGGACGAGACATAACTACTGATTATATGTTTAATATTGCTTCAATTGTGTATCTATATAAGTGTTTTCTCTATTTCCTAAGGCTAAGTGATGAATTGTTCGGAATAATCATGATTGAATAATTTTTAGGTTTCATTGATACATGTTATATTCAACAACTGTACATGCTAACGAATTTCAAACACATGATTTATTTATAATAATAAATATGTTATTGAAATAATCTAGCGGTAGGATTGGACACAAGTTATTACAACTTATATAAAGGCTCTCTCCTTACGTATCCAATACATATATTATGAATCATCACAAGAAACACATAAGTAATATAGCTTTAGTTATAGAAAACAAAGGAAGGTGTCGCACATTAATTGCCATGGCAGCAAACAAATATCCCAAACAGCAAACAAGACAGAAAAAGCTAAAAGATAAAAAAAAGATAAATAGAACGCAAGGAAAAGAAATGCACAATGCCACATTCTGCAAGAAATCCAGTACATCAAATACATGACTTTTGTATATAAAAAGTTTTATCTGTCTAAAGTGCTTATATTCTTAGTATCATAAATCTGCATGCGATTTTGTGTTTCAATTTGTATAATATTAATAATCCATTTCCAACAAGTCTTTTGTTTGTGTTTTCATTTTATTTCATCTAATGCAAATATTAGGTTATTAAATATTATCGAATGTATTCCATGTAAACAGTTTAACTAGAAACTGCAAATATTTGAATTTCCGATTCATAATTGAATAATGATTTAGACAATATCTACAGGACAAATTAAGTTAACTCTTCATAAATCAGTTAGAATATCTAAAACGTAAGTTTTTTTTCTTTCTTTTTATGTCTCGCCATTGAGTTGTCATGAAGAAATTAGTATTATTCACTTCCTGTCGCCATACAATTGCTCGGACTTTTTTTCGTTAAGATTGTTGATGCTGAGTTCATTTTTTGGTTCCTTAAAAAAGAATTGGCTGTTTCAGCATCTTAACAGCTTAAAGACTGTGAGTTATTTAATTGTTCGTACCCCAAAATGAAAATAACGTCATATCATTGGTTGAATTCCTTTATTTAGGATGTTTTCAACCAATTGCAATCACGGCGTTTTGGTGTAACTTTTGAAAATATTACCCAGATTGCATTAGATTCTGAAACGGCGAATTGACTTAGAGTTGCGCTTCATGTGATCTATGACTATCAAAGAATTGCGCAGTACTTCCGTTATTCTGCTGGCAAGGAAGTTGGTAGTGTCCAGCGTTTAATTGATAACGAGTAATTAAATATATCACTTCGTAATTGTATTGCTCCTTTTATTTACGATTTTATCAAGGTATAGTGTTTCGTTGCTGTCATCTTTTACTGTTCGTAGGTAGCCACGTTTTTTCAAGATGAAGTTTGATTAAAGTCTGAAATTTTAATTGTATTTAATCCTTTAAGCTATATTAACATTTTTTGGTAAAGTTTATATCTTCTTCTGATTATGTTAAATTGTTTGTTTTTCATTATGTTTAAGGGCATCGGTGGCTGTGTCGTCTAAGTAGTCCAACTTCTGTTTCACTACCATGTCAACACTGAGGTTGTGCGTCCGAACCCTAGCTGCACGTGGCAAGTGTGATCGACTGCAATCTTAATAGACTAGGATTGCCAGTTTTCCTGTCGAATGTCGGTGGTTCTCTCCGGGAACTCCGGCATCCATCAACAATAAAAACTGACCGCCACAAAATTGCCAACAGTGCTGAAAGTGGAGTAAAATACCAATCAATCAATCAATTGTTAATTATTCGAACAAATGGCAAAATCAACGTTGATTGGTTGTAAAGAAGGTATCAAATATATCAGCAGTTATTTAGTTATTGATCTTTATGCATATTGAGTTCTTATACAACGTCGACTTTGAAGTTAACTTACAATTAAATACAAGTTCAATACTAAATACAGTTCTACTGCATGCCGACGATTTTTATATAAGAAACATAGAATAAGATAAGGAAATTAATTGAGTTTAGTTTAAATGAATTCGGAAATATTATTGCTATCTCTAAATGGTAAGCTATTAAAAGTATTTTTGGTAATTTTGTTTTACTAGTATGTTTATTCATTTAAGAATTTCGGTTATATATATCAGAAATTGTTGAATATCTATTTATTTATAGTTCCATTCAGAACCCTTTTCTTACAGTATTGTAATTTAGGAAATTTTAATTATCAAAATAATTTTTTTCTGTTAAAACCTCGGCTTACTGTTTTAATAAAACTGGGTATTATATATATCTTCATATATACAAGTCTAAATTGAAAACAACGTTCAAACCTATGATTGCGTTGGATAAAAACCGCAATTTTTATACGTGTGCATGTAAAACAGATTTCTTGGTAGAGGGGTCTAAATATAGCACAAACAACATTTTCCAAAAAACCAAAAAAGTGAAAAGTATATTTTAACAAATCGCATTTGACTAACAGGTCGAACAACTGATGTTCTTAAACCCTGCTGACTGCCATTGACGATTGTCAGATAAATTAATCACGAGATGTAACATGGATCTTAATTATTAATTTAATACCAAACAAAAAACAATTAACTTGCGGAGAAGATGGTATACCGCAAACATGAGGTGCAAAAATTTGTACACCATATCCGGATTTAGACATTTAATGTCTCTTCAGTGATGTTAGGGATCGAAACGACAATTAATGTCTCTTCAGTGATGTTAGGTATCGAAACGACAATTAATGTCTCTTCAGTGATGTTAGCGATCGAAACGTATATATAAATATGTTACAGTGAATTTGTATAATCAGGGATTATGTAGAATCCCTGATATTTCAGGGATTATGTAGAATCACTAACATCATTAGTGATTATATATAATCCCTGAAAATAACCAGTGATTTTACATAATCACTGAACATTTTAATAATTATTCTACAAATTCCCTAATATGATTTCAGGGATTATGAATAATCCAAAGATTCTTTTTTTGATAAAAAAAAAAAATTAAATGTAGACAAATCACCATTTGTTGTTTTTTTTTTGTGTCTTATTTCTTGAAAATTTAAGTGAACAGTTTTCATTCCTGAACTACTTCTTCTAGGTAAATCTTAAGGGAATAGTTTTACCAGTGATATTTTATTCAACTGTTGAACTGCATCATTTCACAAACAAATAATTATGGAAGAGACTGAGGTTGCTTGGGTTGGAGCAAACGTATGCTCAAAAGTTACTGCAAATTGCAGATGCAAACTCTAAATGCAAGATATGGTCAAGGAATAAATGGTTAGCATGGATCTATATCAAAAGAAGTGAAAACTAGATAAACAGATACAAAAGTATCATTTATCATATGCACATTTATACGATTTGTGGTCTCATTGGTATACTATTGTTGTGATTAAGTGAGGACCCCCCGCCCCCACCCCCAAAGAAAAAGAATAACTTTGTGCATATGTGGCTTTTATACAAAAATATGTTTTACTATGATCAGTTGAAATGTACCCCTCATTAAAGGATTCACAATATATTTCCCCTGACCCTAAAACATGGTATCCTGCAAGGATCCTATAGAAAAAATCAGTTCGAGGTTGATGATTCCCTTCTTTTGGTACCTTCAAATGTTTGTACTGAAAACTGTATTTCTCTTTGACGTGCAAAATTGGCTTCGATATGTGAAGGACAATTTTTTTTTTAAATGTAGATGATGTAGTGAAAACAGATGTGAATCAAATAGCTGTGGCTGTAGAAAAGCAGGGCAAAATGTGCTATAATCGATGCCATCCAAATTTATAGTTTGCAAAAATGAATGATTGTTTTTAAAATATTGTGTTAAAAGTAAAACATTGTAAGATATTGTGTAACATTTTAATGTATTATGCCTAATATTTTAATATATTGTGCCACAAATTTAATACATTGTGCTACAAATTAAATATATTGTGCCTAACATTTTAATGTATTGAGGTTATCATTTTATATACATTGTTGTACATGTATTGTACTAAATATTTTACATTTTATTTTTAGGAGGATGTTTTAATACGATTTAATAGAATAAATTATTTTACTTTTATTCATTTTCTTTATAAATAAAGCCAGAGACATGTTTTATACGTCTCTGATAAAACTAATTTTTCATTTCAGTTATTATGTATAATCCCTGACGTTTATTCTAGTGATTATACATAATCCCTGAACATTTTAGTGATTATACATAATCCCTGAACATTTTAGTGATTATATATAATCCCTTAACTAAAAGGTGATTCTACATAATCCCTGAAAATGTTAGGGATTCTACATAATCACTGATTATACAAATTCACTATAACATATATATATATATATATATATATATATATATATATATAGTTACATAGTGTGCTAGTGACCTAATACGATATATATGGGGTCAGTAAATTTCATATGGGTGAGAGCGAAGCTAGTGACCTAATACGATATATATGGGGTCAGTAAATTCCATATGGGGTGAGAGCGAAGCGTGTTTGGTAATATATTATTTATAAGATCTATTTTGTTACATCTTATGATCCGTTTATTTGGCAATCGCCAATGGCAGTCAGCAGGGTTTAAGAACATCAGTTGTTCGACCTGCTAGTCAAATGCGATTTGTTAAAATATACCTTTTCACTCATTTTGGTCTATTGGAAAATGTTGTTTGTGCTGTATTTAGACCCTCTACCAAGAAATTTGGTTTGCATGCACACGTATAAAAATTGCGGTTTTTATCCAACGCAATCAAAGGTTTGAACGTTGTTTTCAATTTAGACTTGTATATATATATATATATATATATATATATATATATATATCCTTTTTCTTACATGTACGCTTTTCACAACAGAATAAATATATTGATCAATATTCAATCTTACAGAATAATTATATTCAGGAACTATTTTCGGAATGTACCGGCTGATTATATTCTTAAACCCGCAACATGGA